TCCCGCGCTGACTCTACGATCCGGACATACGAACCATACTGGGCCAAGTTTCGAGCCTTTTGCACAAAAGTGCATCTTCCCTTTCTTCCAGCTTCTGACATGACCCTCGCACTATACCTGGTACACGCAATCCGACGCAAAGCCACCCTGTCCGTAGTGCAGCTGACGTGCTCGGCAGTCAGCTTCGCCCATCGCATGACTGGGAGCAAATGCCCGACAATCGGACCATTCACCACCCAAGTGCGTGACTGTGCAAAACGACATTGCCCTCGCCCTACTCGTCCGAAGGAACCCGTATCGATCCAACAAGTCCGAGACATGGCCGAAAATTACCTGCAATCCGACGACCCTGCGGAATTCCAGAAAGGGTTAATCCCCATCCTCATGTACTCGGGATTTCTGCGATACTTCGACCTAGTGGCCATAAAGCGGCAAGACATTCAATTCGACGAAGAGGTCATGTGGATCCTCATACCACACTCCAAGACTGATCAGGCCGGTCATGGCACATGGATTCCCATTGCAGCAACAGCGGACCCCTGTTGCCCAGTGCGCTGTACCCGATGCTTCATCAAACTCGCCGGTTATGGCCCTCAGTCAGAAGGACCGTTGATTCGCGTCTTCGGCCATGCTGCAACTAGCAAAGGTCAGGCGAGGCCACCTTCATACACTACAATCCGCAACTGGTGCAAGGAAGCCTTCGCAAAGGTTGGCCTTGGCGAGCTGCAACTCGGCACTCACTCTTTCCGAAAAGGCGCAGCTACAGTAGCAGCCAACACTGGAGTGCCAGACAGAGTCTTCAAACGGCTGGGCAGATGGCGAAGCGACACAGCAAAGGAAATGTATGTCAAGCCATACGTCGAGCCTCTCATCAAAGCCTCCCGCAACCTACAAGATCCGACGCATGCGGTGACTTGTGATATGAGCATGCACTAGCTTGTGTTCAATTGTGATGCAAATGTTGTAAACAACCATTTGTAATGAGAACGATCCATTTGTAATGAGAACGATGCCAATTGATAAGAATAAGAAAGCAAGCTTTCTCAATATGCAAAAGCATAAGCGAACACTGCTAGAAAAGACAAGCGAGTCAACCCACCGTTACGCGGTACAGTAGGGGCTGGTAACCCTGATACTACCTACAAGCCCATTTTTCCCCATAAGCAAGGCCTTGCTCGAGTGAGGCCAAACCGCCCAGCCGAAAATGGGCCCCTGCAAGAGCATCAGGTGTACATTGCTTGTTTGTGGTCCAGTTGTCGTTTCTGTGATCGTTCGGTTATGTAGCGCCAAATGTGCATTCATGTCGCCCGTGTGTGTCATGGCTGGCGTGGCGTGTGTTGGATGTAGGGAGGTCAGGGAATGCAAGGAGCCTGGTTTGGTGTGGTCTCGAATCACAGTAACGCATATATTTGTGTACATTCGTTGTCCAAAAAAACTGACAGGAGCCGAAAGCTTCTACACTCATTTTACCGGAATGAGTAGTGTAAACATTTCCAAACAGCCCATACGTTGCTCAGTGCTGATTGTCACAAAGACGGAAACAAGAATGTTGGACTTCAATTTTCATGGTCACCATGATGGTCGCCATGTCTGGTGGGGACAGGCTCTTTGTGGAGTGGAGGATGACGATGCCCCACGTGTCTCCTTCTGACAAATCGTCTGTCGGCTGCTGCTTCGGCTTTGGGCGTTGGTGGCCTGTGGGCACCCCGTTTAGAGCGGGGTTTACCTCACCGTGTTTCCTCAGTTTCTGTTTCATAAAAGATGTGGAAGAGCATACGATGTAGGGCGAACGTTTTACCCCGTCTGTGTTTCTGTTTCTGCTATTTTAATCGGGAATTCGCGTCTTTCGTGAACTTCAACCCTGAGTAAGCCTGATTCAGTGCAGTTTGCAGCACCGTAATAGCGAGGCGCGCTGCCAAAAATGACCGTCTCGTGGAAACGAGACGCCGCCATGTGTAAAAACAAGACCTCGGTTTATTCTTTCCATAAATTATGCTGCCCAAGGTGTACACTATTGCTTGTGAGAGTGACGCGCGCATTGATTGCAGAATCTCTTCCCAGTTCCTAATTGTAATCTTGGAAGAATCTCTGCCCATGGGATGGTTGAAGCTGACTGGTGCTTGACTGTACAGTACACTTTCAACCCAGTTATTATTGATTTCCTGCCAGTGCTGCCCTAGCGATACCAAGGCGGGAAAACGAACAGTGCAGCGGAGGCGTGACGAAGATGCCCAGACCAGACCATATGAGCAAGGCAGGCGGGCAGGACAGACCAGCGGAAGCAGTGCTGGACAGCCCAAGCAGCAGCAATTCAGCTCGGCAGCAATGCCACATTTCACCTAATCGTCACTCCATGGATTGTTTGTGACAGCTTTTGCACCCAAATCTCATAGCTAGCTTTGGTTCGTCATAAACTTCACAGATAGCTTATCCCCCGTTTCACAGAAAGGCTCAAGACGTGCAGCCACTGACCCCATTCATGATAACATTCGTCATTCTTCGCCACAATCATAACATTTCCTTATTGCTCGCCATTCTTTCCACATCGCCTTATTATCATTCCTTCTTTTCATCGAAACAAATAGAGCTGCCGCCTCGCCGGATCTTCAGTTGCTTTCACCTCTTACGGACGTCGCTTTCTCCATACGCACCTACCGCAAAACGCGCCGAGTTCTCTACGTCCACCGCGCCGCTTGCAGCTACGTCCATTATTTCCACGAATCTACCCTGCGGCTTCCCAACCAAAGTCCGAGATGTGTCTTCCGCCGTCCCCTCCACTCCGCCAATCCGGACACTTTGCGCGCACTCAAGATTCCAGCCACTGGCGATCAACTTATGACCACCTCCAGCAAGATTTTCACGATGAGCACCAACACCATCATGATAATCATGCTGCGCACCAACACCATGATGAGCATGAGCGCAAGCACGAGCATCAGTCGTCGGCATCAGCTCCAGCAAGACCCGAGTTTTCGCGTCGCCAACGCGTCTATTATTTCGTACCAGCGGCGTCTCAATCTGCTAACGGCTGTGTCGGCGGCAGTGACGCGGTTTCCACGCCCGCCGCTGGACCTCTGGTCGTTCGCGGAGGCAAGCTCGTTCCGCGGCATCCTTCTGCGCCGAATCAGTCGTCGCTGATGACGTTGCCGCAAGTTCCGCCGGCGAAGACGCCGCCCCAACAGAGACATTCAAGGCAAGTTAGGCCGCTGCACCAGCGCGAATCACCTCAAGCCACTTCGCCGTCGGTTGGGCCACCGCGCGCGTCGGCGCCGCGGCTTACGCCGCCGCCGCAATCCATATCATCCACTCTGTCGTTCGCGACGCCTCCTCTCCATTCATCTCCGCCGTTCGCTCCTCCCAAGCCATCGCTGTCGTTTTCGCCTGTTCCCAGGCTTGTCTCACCGAATCAGCGACCGCCCTTGCCGAACCAAAAAGGGCAGGTTCCGCACGAAAAGCTCCGCCTTCCGAACCAACCGACTCCGCCCCCCACTGCCACTCAACGCCGCTCTCCGCCGATCTCTCCGCCAGCTCCGCCGTCTCGCCATGCTTCCGCGCCGCGAGCATTTCCACCTTTCCCGCAATCACCACCGAGCCCGCCGCTATCCCCCGACGCTCCGAATATGACTCTTGGTGACGGAGATGTGTTTTTTGCGCCTTCTCCGCCGGCATCGGCGCCGCGCACTGGCTTCAGGTCGGGCCAGCGGCGACCGTGCTTCCGGCTGTGTGGGGGTGACGGAGACCGCTGCATTCTGCGGTGCAATAGCGACAATCACATGGACCGGACTCGGCGCGCTGCTGGTTCGCGTCATCCGGTCGGGAGGTGCGGGGTGTAACGTATTACCCTAACTACCGAGCTAACAACCATCGATCTCTCTCTAAGTCAATTGTTGAGAACTTCTCTCGACAAAGGAAGAGTTGGAGAAGATGGTTGAGTTGGTTGGGATGAAACTTGGTTTGGGTTTGCCAAGCCTCAACTTTGGAGGTTTGGAACATTTCCAACTCAACCAAGAGAATGTTGAAGGTTGGAATTCCAACCAATCAGAAACTGCCAAACAAGTGTTACAATCTACTCTATCCTAAACACAACCATTGAATGGTTCTAAGTTGGGTTTTCCAACCCAACACAATTGCCACATAGGCTCCAAGCCTAGGAACCATCCCACCATGGAAACCATGGTTGGGATAGTTCCCCAAGGGGTGTATTGAGGGGGTCTGAGCTAAGCAAGCTCATTCTCAACCTCCCACTCCAACAAAACAATTGGAAATGGGATTGTTTCTCTAAGTCCTTTTGGGCTCTCTCACAAGTCTCCCTACACTACTACTCCAAGTGCTTTTCATCAAAGGCATCAAGAAGATCTTCATCTCCAAGGCTATTAAGGCTAGTTAAAGCTACTATTTTGTATTGGAATATTATAAAAGCCTTGTAACCGCCATTATAATAGCCCTGGGCATTACATTGGTATCTAGAGCAAGGTTCTTCCTTGGCCTTGTGTGGCCATTTGCTACTTGGACTATTTTTTTTTAGAGGATCCTAGCTTGTGGATCCAGGATTTCATCCAAGGAGCTATCAAGATCTTTGAAGATTTTGAAGAAATTTCAAGATCTACAAGTGGTTCTTCAAGATCTACAAAAGCTTCTACAAGATCTCCAAGCTTCAAGCTTCAATCTCCTCAACACACCATTGGAGCTTCAAGATCTACAAGGAGCTCATTTTTCTTCATCAACATTGAGAAGAAATTTGAAGAGATTAATTTCTCTTACCCACCTTTGGTGGAAGACTCTTGATCTACTTTGTGTAGAAGAGTGTACCTTCAGATCTATAAAGGGCTTGTTGAGGATTACTCTCTTGAGTATATCTTGCTCTATAATTGAGGTGATAGAGAGATTTGGCAAACAAGTCTATCTTAAGAGATTCTGTATTGGATTATTCTATAAGAGTAATCAGATTTCTTAAAGATTATTATAAGATCTGTTGAGATCTCCTCTCCTTAACCTGTTTCATGGCTGCTGGTCAAGAGATGGATGCTACTAAGGAGGTGCCCGTTGTTGGCACTGAGGGAGATAATGCTGCTGCTGCTGCTGCTGACATTGATCTCAACCTTGAGGATTTCGTGGTTGACATGGAGATCAATGGAAGTGAAGCTGACCTTGAGGCTGATGCTGAAAATGAGGAAGAGGCTGGCTCTGATGAGGGTGTTTCCAATGAAACTGAGAACATTGCTGTCAAGCTCCAGACTCAACTCACGGAGCAGAATATTCTCATTGGAGTGCAACAGTGTCGTATCCAGAACTTGGAGGCTGATTCTGTTAAGCTTCAGGCCTTGATTGAGCAGCTGACCAGGGAGGTGCAGTTGATCCCTAAGGAAAACGACACCTCCAGCCTCATTCAGGACCTGCACAACACTCTTCAGTTCGTGCAGGATCAGCTCAAGAAGCAGGAGAAAAGCATCTCTGTGCTTCAGACCCAGTACAGGGAGATCCGGCGTGGAAACCTCTACCAGCCTGCTCCTGCAGCAGAGCGAGTCGCCAACGCCGCTAACAGCCGTGCTGCACCTGCTGATGCACCTCCTGCTGTTCCTCCTCCTACTGGAGCACGTGCTGAGCCTCCTACTGCAGCAGCAACTGCCTTTGGCTCCTGCCCTTCGGCCCTGCCTCGTTTTGTCCATGGCAAGACCGACGTCGAGACTTGGCTCTCCATTGCGGATGACTTTATGTCCATCCACAATGTGCGTAGCGAGGCTCGTGTGGTCGCTGCAACCCTTGCCCTGGACGACACTGCGAGCAAGTTGGTGTATGCCAACAAGCGCCACGCAGAGGCTAATGGCCATCCTTTTGGCTGGGAGGAGTTCAAAGCTGCCATGCTGGCGGCATTCCTGAGTCAGCCCCCGGCACTCGAGGTGCGTAGCCGCCTGGAGAATATCCAGTGCGGTGACCAGCCTGTACGCGAGTACGCCAAGGAGTTTGAGAAAACTCTGTCGCTGCTGAAGACTGCTCTTCCTGAGAGCGAGGTCATCCACCAGTTCTTCAAGGGTCTCCCTGAGCACATCAAGCGTGTGCATGTTGTGCGCGGGGAGCACCAGTGGAGGACCTACAAGGAGTGCAAGGAGCAGGTCATTGACACGGATGTGAATTTCCGTGTGTACATGACTCACGCTCGTGCTCAGCAGCAGCCTAGTGCCGAAGGCCCTAGGGGGGTGGTAACAGGACTCAGGCACACAGGGGCAGTGGCTCTTGGAAGAGGCCCTATCAGCAGAAGGGGGAATCCTCTGGGACTCAGTCCAAGAGGGCCCATGCTGGGCCTGCCAAGGATCCTCAGGATGAGGATAAGCCCCCGGCAGGCTGCCGCATCTGTGGCAAGCTCGGGCACAAGTCCTATCACTGCCGTTGGAGGAAGTCCGTCAAGAACTCCGGCAAGCCCAACCAGGGCAAGAAGCCGGATGGTTCTGGCCCTTTGGGCCCGAAGGATTTTCCGAAGTCCAACTAGGGGGTGGGTACCTAGTTGGTGAGCGAGATCGAGTAGATGAGGCTTATGTCCTTCGTGATGAGGATTTGCTAAAGCTAGAGAAGCTTGCATCATGCAAAATCGCTTGTTTGTATGCCTCTTCTATTAATGAAAAATCTGTTTTTAAAACTCGATCATACCCACTTGAAAACATCTCAATTGAATCCTTGAGAGATAAATTTTCAATCATCTCTTGCTCGTTCAACGAGTTGCCAGCAATCATGGATATTGTGGACCGTTGTGTCCAAGAGCACCCGCTCACGTCAGTGGGATTGGTGACTCGAATCGTGAAAGGAGAGTTGTTCCGCCGATTTCACGAATGGCATATCCTGGCAACATGGGACAAGGGGCACCATGTTTGGTGGACCACATCCCAAAGGTTTGGACGCGCTCACAACAAATTTAGGGTGTACTTTCGACCTCCTAAACTTGTTGTCGCTTGTCCCATCCGTCCAAGATTTCAACAGAATCTACTGTTATCTGGACGCATGAATGGGGACGAAGCAAGGATTCTCGTCGATACAGGCGCGTCGGTTTCCCTTGTTGATGAAACTTGGGTTACGACACGCAACGTCCTCGTGGTAGGACCGTCGTGTCCCATCCGCTTGGGTGACGATCGTGTCATTCCAAGTAAAGGACAGACACATATCGACATGAAAGTACAGAACTATAGCGAAACAGTTCGCGTATATGTCCTACCACTTTTGTCAGGAGTCGACCTCATCCTGGGCATGGATTGGTTGAGAGCCAACGAAGTTATTCTGGACTTCCAGTACAACATTGTCTCATTCAACAAGAACGGAAAGGCAATCCAGTGGCAAGTCAATGATACTTTGCCCACTGAAACACAGACGCCTGAACGTCCCAGCGCGCTGTGTGTGTTGGCCAACCAATTCGGGCATTCTGTTAAGTCGGCTGATACACTATTCGTGGTACAGCTTGAGAATGTCGAGGCCTCGGAGCCAGCAATTGAGGATTTCCCTCCTCAAATGAAAATACTGGCAGAGGAATTCAAGGAAGTGTTTGAAACCATCCCTGATGGACTTCCGCCTGACCGCGCAGTGGGTCACACCATCCCTGTTGAACCAGGAAAGGTTCCACCCTTTCGACCTCTGTATCGCCTCAGTCCAGCTGAGTACGAAGAGGCCAAACAACAGATCGAGGAATACCTCAGAAAAGGATGGATTGAACCCAGTGCATCCCCTTACGGAGCACCAATTTTGTTCGTTAACAAGAAGGGCGGAGGATTACGCATGTGCGTAGATTATCGTGCCTTGAACAAGATTACGGTGAAGAACAGATACCCTCTACCACGAATTGAGGATCTGTTCGGTCAGCTCCAGGGAGCTCAGTGGTTCAGTGCGCTGGACTTAGCTCAGGGGTATCATCAGCTACGAATCACCGAAGAAGATGTTCCAAAAACGGCTTTTCAGAACGCCGTTCGGGCATTTTCGGTGGCGTGTGTTAAGTTTTGGCTTTACAAATGCTCCCGCGTCATTTCAGCGAGCAATGAATGATGTGTTTCGGGAGGCAATCGGCCAATTCGTCCTGGTATACTTGGATGACATCCTCCTGTACTCGAAGACCGAAGAAGAACACACGCAACACCTGAAATGGGTGTTAGGAAAACTGCGAGAGCATAAATTCTTTGCTCGATTGTGGAAGTGTCACTTCTACAAACGCGAGTTGGAATACCTTGGTCACTTGGTAGGCAACGATGGCCTCAAAGTTGATCCAAAGAAAGTGGCGGCAGTCCAACAGTGGCCCGTTCCACAGGACGTGGGACAGGTCAGATCATTTCTTGGACTTGCGAACTATTTTCGCCGTTTCTTGGAAAATTATTCCTCCGTAGTCGCTCCACTGACTGCCCTCACTCGTAAAGGAAATGCTTGGCAGTGGACCGATCAATGCCAGAAGGCATTTGAGGAGGTAAAGACCATGCTGACCAATGCTCCAGTGCTGGCTTTGCCAGGCCCGTCCAAGCCCTACGAGGTGGTAACTGATGCCTCGACTGTAGGGATTGGCGCAGTTCTTTTACAAGAAGGACGCCCCGTGGCATTTGAGAGTAGAAAGCTTACACCGGCTGAGCAGCACTATACAACTTCCGAACAGGAATTGTTGGCGGTTGTGCATGCGCTACGAACATGGAGATGTTATCTCGAAGGTGTTGACTTTGTGGTCACGACCGACCACTGTCCGAACACCTATTTTGCCACTCAAGCCACACTCACCCGCCGTCAAGCTCGATGGGCTGAACTCCTGAGTGGGTTCACCTACGATATTCGATATCGAGCGGGCTCGACGAACATGGCTGATCCTCTGAGCAGACAGCCGATTGGGGCAGCAACGGGTGTTGATGATAAGGAACATGAAGCTGTGTTTGCTGCTTGTTTCAACATCCTCGCAGCTGCTCGAGTGAGCGAGATTGCCTTTGGTGGTTTTCTGAAACGCATCCGCGCAGGGTATGATATTGACCCTTGGTTTCAGAACCCACAGAATACAAAAAATCTCTTGTGGGAGCATGAGCTCTGGTGGCACAAGAAAGAAATTGTAGTCCCACATGTGGGAAACCTGCGGAATGATATTCTCGCAGAGGTGCACGCCACTAAGTATGGAGGACACCTGGGTGTCAAGAAAACCCGGTGGGCCCTCAGTGATGTATACTGGTGGCCGGGATTGGGCATTGAGGTCCAGCAGTTTGTAACTCGCTGTGACACGTGTGCACGGAACAAGCCGAGCACACAGAAGCCTGGTGGTCTGCTTCAACCACTTGAGATTCCCGATGAACCTTGGGAGAGTGTATCGATGGATTTTATCACCGATCTCCCCAAGACGCGAGATGGTCATACAGCGATACTAGTGTTTGTGGATCGCTTGACCAAAATGGTGCACTTCGTGCCCACGACGACTGACGTGTCTGCGGAAGATACGGCAAAGTTGTTTGTGACACACGTTTTCCGCTTACACGGTTTGCCTCGTGTGATGGTGTCTGACCGAGACCCGCGCTTCACAAGCCGATTCTGGCAAGAGGTCATTAAGGCACTCGGAACGAAACTCAAGATGTCGTCTGCGTTCCACCCACAAACGGATGGACAGACAGAGCGGACCAACCGCACTCTTGAGCAAATGCTTCGTTCTTTCATAAGCCCAACTCAGGACGATTGGGATGAATTGTTGCCAGTCGTGGAATTCGCTGTAAACAATTCTGTGCATGAAAGCACCCATGAGAAACCCTTTGTCCTGAACTGTGGTCGGCACCCCACAACCCCCGCGACGCATGGGATTAAGAACCTCAAAATCCCTGCCGCAAAGGACTTTATTGGAAATCAGCAAGCGGCATTGAAGTCCGCTCGCCATTGGCTGCAGCTTGCCCAACAGAGGCAAAAATCCTATGCCGACATGAAACGCCGGGAAGTCGTTTTTGCAGTTGGCGACAAAGTATTACTGAGTACGAAGAACATTCGTCTCAAGATCCCGGGAGCACGAAAGCTTTTCCCTCGTTGGATTGGGCCCTTCGAGGTGATTGCGCGTGTTGGTGAGGTCGCATATAGGCTCAAATTGCCTGCGACATTGCAGATTCACAACGTCTTCCACGTGTCTCTGTTGAATAAGTACGTTGCAGAAGGCAAGTACTTACCGCCACCAACCATCGCTCTCGAGAAGGAACTCTTTTACGAAGTCGAGCGTGTGCTAACGCACCGTGATCGACAACGCGGCCGCAAAACTGTTCGTGAGTTCCTAATTCAGTGGAAAGGCTATGGGCCGGAACACAACTCTTGGGAGCCTGAGGAACACTTGACCGAAGCAGCGGTTCAAGCGTATATGGAAGACCTGGCTCTACGAGCAGGCCCACAACCAGTGGACGGGGTTGACCCTGGTCGTAATGTGGTGCGCCGTGCTCGAAGCACTCGTCCTCAGAAGCACCCTAGGGCAACGGGGACGTTGCCACCTGGGGGGGGAGGAGTGTAACGTATTACCCTAACTACCGAGCTAACAACCATCGATCTCTCTCTAAGTCAATTGTTGAGAACTTCTCTCGACAAAGGAAGAGTTGGAGAAGATGGTTGAGTTGGTTGGGATGAAACTTGGTTTGGGTTTGCCAAGCCTCAACTTTGGAGGTTTGGAACATTTCCAACTCAACCAAGAGAATGTTGAAGGTTGGAATTCCAACCAATCAGAAACTGCCAAACAAGTGTTACAATCTACTATATCCTAAACACAACCATTGAATGGTTCTAAGTTGGGTTTTCCAACCCAACACAATTGCCACATAGGCTCCAAGCCTAGGAACCATCCCACCATGGAAACCATGGTTGGGATAGTTCCCCAAGGGGTGTATTGAGGGGGTCTGAGCTAAGCAAGCTCATTCTCAACCTCCCACTCCAACAAAACAATTGGAAATGGGATTGTTTCTCTAAGTCCTTTTGGGCTCTCTCACAAGTCTCCCTACACTACTACTCCAAGTGCTTTTCATCAAAGGCATCAAGAAGATCTTCATCTCCAAGGCTATTAAGGCTAGTTAAAGCTACTATTTTGTATTGGAATATTATAAAAGCCTTGTAACCGCCATTATAATAGCCCTGGGCATTACACGGGGGATGTGAGGTCGAGGAACAGTGCGAGTCGCGGTTGGAACAGGCGCTTCTGTCCCCCAGCAGATCGTGTGTGACGCCTCCCGCGTGCAGGAGGTGGCCTCATTCCTCATCTCCATCCTCGTCTTCAGCTGCCCCACTATCGGCGTCTACAGCAACTGCGGAGTTATTTGATCAACATGAAGTTTATTATGCTGTCTTCACTGAAAGCCCCTCTTTTTTGGAAGCGGATACGACCAAGTTCAACAGCAATGGCGTCGTGAAACCCCACAGCTCTCGTACATCGAGCTCTAGCAAGCTACATAAGCCTGTATCCAGAAATAGTTTGCGGCGAGTTAGGTTTGAAATGGCCGCCGAAGTGCTTTGCGTTTGAGAGAGCGTGTCGAGGCAGGTCATCCACGTAGATTTCGGTTTACCCAACTTTCTAGACGCCTTTGAATAAAAAAATCCGTTTCTGTTTATAAATGACTTTTTAATGCTGCTCCTTGAAATATGAGGGTGTTCCAGTTTTTCCTTCTGATTATCCGCTGTGTTACAGAACGACAAAAAGGCAATTTCTCCAGAGCATCCACAAACGATGAGCACCCTCGCTAGAGCGAGCGCACACCACACAAACACGATCATACCAGTAGTTGTCAGGGTCAGCAGCACAGCCTACAGGGGTATAGTAGTTGGTTCGAGCTCCTGAAGAACCTTTGTCGACTGGATAATGTCCACAATGGCGACCGATGCGTGCACGAAACCCGCGCATCTTGACGGCGCTTCCGCCCCTGCGCCTTTAACTCCAGATAGATTAGGGTTTTCCGGAGCAGCAGAGGCAGTAGAGAGGGGGAACGCAGGGAATGGATAAGGGTTGTCTCGCGCGGTCGAGGCGGCGCGGTCTGCCATCGGGCGCGCGGTGGAGTTGGAGCTCTTAAACGACTTGCGGATTAAAGGGGTGCTCTCAGACTGCGATCACAGACTCAAGTGGGTTGCATTTTTTCTAATTGACTGTAAAAACTCTTGCACTTGCGATACAGTCAGATCCTGCTCTGGTTTCACATTGCACTGCTTGAAATCCCTAATTCCTGAGAAAGCACTACGAAGGAGACAGGCTTTGCCAAGTTTTTCCTTTGAATGGGATCCGATCGTTCCTGTTCAGGCCTCAGTGCGTAAATTCTGCCGTCCTCACTACGTTCCATGTCAGATTTGATTGTTCAACCAAGTTCGTATATCCCTGCTTGATTCTTATGTCCGCTTCAGTCAAGCTCACGTCTCCCCCTGCGTTCCCTGTTGTCATTGTTTCACTGTAACTGCAGTTGCACTGTCACCGCAGCTTCCACTGAAACAGCAATGGTACGTTTCATCAGCCACTTCCCTCTCCCTCTCCCTAGTCCTATCCGCCCTCTTCCCCTCCCCTCCCCCCCCACACCTCCCCCTCCTCTTCGTCATTCTCCCCTACCTCCCCTTGTCTCCTTCTTTTACATCTGCTAAGCTCTATGATGCGCCATGCATGGGATGAAGGGCCATGCATGGGATGAAGGGCCATGCATGGGATGAAGGGCCATGCATGAGATGAAGGGCCATGCATGAGATGAAGGGCCATGCATGAGATGAAAGGACATGCATGGGATGATGGGCTATGCATGGTAGGCCGTGCATTATGTGTTGTACATGATAAGGCATGTATGCATTAGCTCCACCCTTGACGGCGAACCTGAGTGGGAGTTACCCTGCTGTTCTAACTGCAACCCTCCCCTCCATACCCTCCCCATCCCACCGTTGCAGGGAGAGTCGCTGTCATTTCCAGCGTTGTTTGTGAGAGCAAGGGCCGTTCGCCTGCTACGCGTTCCGAGCATGTGTACATTGAGCCGCCAAGGGGCTTGAGAAGCTATCTTTTGTACAGATACCATTGTTCCGGTAGTGTAGTTTGTATATCGGTGTACTACATGGATGAAGACAAAATCACATATTCATGACACGTGCCCACATCACACAAGCATGCACAGCACTCTCTACAGAATGTACAGCTGGCTCCACACACCTAGGTTCACTAGCTGCACACTAGCAGCGGTCCTCCCTTCTAGAAGCTGATAGGAAAAGCCCATCGTTCCCACACACATACGGTAGGTGACTCCTCAGCCGGCTAGGGCTAGACAATTGGGCAGTCTAGCTGCAGGGTTACAAGCCCTGGTGCTGCTCGCCAGCTCTGGAGACAAACAGCAAACACAAGGGCAGTAGGGGCGGATTGTCAGGGAGGAGGGTGTTTGTCGCAACACCGCCGCTTCCCCTCGCTGACATGCGTGCCTCTACAGCTGGGCCATATCGAGACGAGACAGGGGGGACAAAAGGAGGACATAGAAAGGAGAAGGAACGTACCTGGGCCTGGGCAACCCTCACGAATGTCACACGCGCACAGTCATCCATGACCGCTTCAGACGGTGCAGTGGTGGGTTCACCGGCAGCCATGGTCGCATTACCCGCACTTCCCCTTGCTGCAGTGCGTGCTGCTACAGCCGGGCTGTAGCGGGCCAGGGCGGCTGCTGCAGCAGACAGGGTGAAGGCGCATCTGGAGCAGGCTGTATCTGCGGAGGCGCATGCCTTGGCCAGGCGAGAGACGTTTTGACTGCAAAGAGCAGGAGGGGATGAGGGTGGTGGTAAATAAGTAGCAATAGCAGCCGACAGGGTCTGGTGCAGGCTGTACACGCCTTTGAGAGGCACATGCCCAGCACGCAGGGCTGGGGCATGGATAAGCAGGAAACGAAACAAAAGGGTCCAATGTTTTCGCTTGCATCAATCACACTTGTTGATCAGCGTCCTGCACGTGTCGTTGTCACTCATGGAGGGTACCTTGCTGGTAGCTAAGTAACTACCTATAATTCCATGCTACCTTCTATGCTTGTTAAGCACTTACAGTCGATCAACGTCCTGAACCCACACCACAGGGCACTTGTTGCTTGGCGGATCCACTGCCACCAGAGGGAACAGACTGCGGCGAGAGGAGGACGAAGAGGAGGACGAAGAGGAGGAGGAAGAGGAGGAGGAAGAGGCGTTGGTGGGAGGGTTGCAGAGGGAGAGAACGTTGGCAGTGATGCGCGGGCGCACAGGTGATGCCTGCAGATGCGCCTGGAGGGACTGGGGAGCGGATGAGACAGGGAGAGGAGCAGAGGTCACAAGGAACAGAGGAAATTAAGAAAGCCTTTTGAGTCGGCAGTGAGGCGAGGGACGGGGTGTGGAACAGGAAGGTTTAAACCGAGAAAAGCAACAGAAACGAGGAGGAATGATAAAGGAGAAACGAGTGAGCAATTGAGCTCTAAAGATGCTCCGTATGCAGCAGCTCCTGCAGGGCGTGTTGAGCTCATGCTGGGTGGTGAAACATGGGCTCCCTCGTTGCAAAGCTCCTCTGCTCCTCTGGAACAACAGGAGAGTTCTCTGAGACCTCTTCTTCTTGAGACCTCTTACCTTCCTGCTCGGGCTGGGTGGTGATTGCGAGGAAGAACATGGGCTCCCTCACAGCGAAGCCCCTCTGGAACGACATGAGAGCGCTCTGAGACCTCTTGACCCCTTGAGACCCTCTCACAGTGTTGCACAATACCTTTCTGCAGGGCGTGTTGAGCTCGGGCTGTGTAGTGATGGCGAGGAAGAACATGGGCTCCCTCACAGCGAAGCTCCTCTGGAACGCCAGGAGAGGGCCGCAGCACGCGTCTGGCGATGGAGACGGGCCAGAGCAGGCGGACAGAGCTGGAGGGAATGTACGAGCACGCAGAGCACAGGGGGGAGGAAGAGGCAAGCAAGGGAGGAGGTGAGCATCTCTTGCAGCACGCACTCGTCTGATGCAGGTGATGGGCCAGCGCAAGCGGACAGAGCTGGAGGGAGTGTACGAGCAAGCATGAGCACAGGGGAAAACGAAGAGGCAGGAGAGGAAGTGAGCAGCACTTGCCACATGGAACTGGGTCCAAGGAGGTGCCACAGCAGGCCAATAAAGCTGCAAAGCATGTACAAGCACAGGGGAATTGAAGCGGCAGGAGAGCAGGTGATTTTTGAGGCGCCTAAAAAATTGCCACATGGAGCTGGGGCCAGGGAGATGCCACAGCAGGCCAATAGAGCTGCAAAACATGTACAAGCACAGGGGAATTGAAGCGGCGGGAAAGCAGGTGAACGGCCGCAGTGAGAATTTTCAAGTCAGAGAGGTGCCAGAGCAGGCCCATATGGCCAGAGCATGCAAAATCGGGAAAACTAAGGGAAAAGAAAACAGAGGAAAGAAATGAATGAGGGAAGCCTGAAATAGACGGCTTTATGGGTTCGTGGTAGTCCATTCAGGGTAACTTTACCATGCGAGAAAACATACATGTGATATTCCCGTTGGAGAGGGCGCTGAAGTCCACGTTACAGCCGTAGGACGGAATCGCTGGTGGGGGAGGTGGCACCGGGCTTGCCCTTGCCCTGCTGCCACCACTGCTGTTGCTGCTGCTGCTGCTGCCACTGTTGCCATCTGGGCTGCTGCTGTTGTTGCTGCTGCTGATGGTGAAACTTCCGCCACCAGTGCTATCGTCTTCATCAGTGGTGGTGCCTGGAGGAGTGGTGGTGGTGGGGGGAGTGGTGGTGCCGGGAGGGGTGGTGGTGCCGAGGGGAGTGGTGGTGGTGGGGGGAGTGGTGGTGCCGGGAGGGGTGGTGGTGCTGGGAGGAGTGGTGGTGCTGGGGGGAGTGTCGTCAGGACCAGCGGCTCTAGGTCGGCTTGAGGTCGCATACGTGTCCGCTGCATCGGCGAGAGATGCGATTACTGGCAGAATTAGCAGCACCAGGAGGACCAGCTCGAAGCACCTGCTCGGGAAAAAACAATGCATGTCACACACAGAAAAGGAAAGAAAAAAAAATACTATTTGTTTCTATACATGATTAAATAAATAAACAAGGAAGCGCCACGATTCTTTCCACTCGCATAGAGGCGTCTAAAAAACAGAGGCGAGTTTTGAAGCGTATACAAAACAGAGGCGAGTTTTGAAGCGTATACAAAAGAGAGGCGAGTTTTGAAAAGCAGAGGCGAGTTTCATACTGACAGTTGAAGGACGCAACCAAGGAAGCAAGCAAGGAAGGAGGAATTTCGTCACCATTGCCTTCATCAAGCAGACGGTTACAAACTGCCATGATACATGAGGTATGGGCTTGACGTATGGAGTGACAAACGTACCGTTTCATCGCTTGCTGAGAAGAGGAGGCCATGCACTTCATGTTGACGGTAAGGGGTAGTAAGAAGTGGTGACAATTGGTGTGACGGGGTAAAGAGTGGTGATACGAGGTGAAACGCGGCGAGAGATGGTAACAAATGGGGAGCAGACGCGTTTCCACTGAACGTCAGATTTGCTGAAAGATCGAATCCTCAGACCCGCGAGATGGCGCAATCTCAAGTGCCTCATCCGTTGGTTATGGTAGTCCATATTTGAACCACTGAGCTTGGCGACGATTTCTAGAAAATCAGGCACTTTCGTGGACTGAACAGGAGAATATCACGCGGCTCGAGGAGGTATAATGAAGGAATGTTTGTAGCGGGAAAATACGAACGGAGCGAGTCAGTGTGCGCCTCAATTGAACTAAATTCACGTCGTTCAAACCAAGACGTGCTCGCTCAGCATCTCAATTGAGGAGAACGACTTCTTTACAAATACGCGGGTCCTATGCGATGGAGCATATGTCCTCTTTTCAGTTCCATAATTCCGAGAGTCCCTATTTCCCGTGTTCCACGCCCTTGAATCTCCAAAGCCTAGAAGATTGGTGGCTGATTTGAAGTCAATTCGATCAAGACGCGGTTTTCAAACCAAAACTCCTCTGAAACGAGCTAGCGACAGTCGATCAAGCACTGCAAGTTCACGCCGAGTGTCGATTATGTGGGCCGCGTCTAGTTCTTGGACACAATTATGGGGCTTCAGCTGTGTCACGCTGTTGTTATTTCGTGCTTACATAAAATAATCAGTGAACCGTGCACGTTTCTCGTGCTTCACATACGCCCTGGAAAACCATGAGTACCTGCTCGCTTTTAGGGCCTGCGTCCGCGTTTTTGTATGTGGCGTTATGGAAACGCCATTGCAGCACGGAAATCGTTATTCTATTTTCTTCAATACAGAATGCGAAATTGCGGTGGCCCTCTCTCAATGGCAGAGAAGCCCTTGGCCCAAAATCACAGTGGGGGGGCGCGTAACGGTTACTGTAGAAAGTTCTTCCCCGCCGTCGCAACCAATCGGAGTGGAAATTCCAGAAGTTCGTGAACCTCGTGGATAGAGGGAGAAATCCATCCGTCCGTCCATCTCTTGGCACAAACGGTTGCTGGTTGGTGCAGCACCAACGGTGGTGCCATGCCGTGCCGTGGCTGTGCCCCGCGGGTCTAAAATACAGGAACTGACGGGACGGACGGGAGACTGGCTGTGGCTGTCAAGAGGAGATGAAGGGACAGAAAGACCCTAGAGAGAGAACCATCCCATGGCATGACGAAGGGAGTAGGTGTGTTGGTGTTGTGGTTGTGGTTGTGGAGCATCCACGATTCCGCGTGCTAGCCTGGGAACGAAATGAACGAGGAGTCGGGGAAATATTGGTGTGGTTCTGTAGTACAGTACGACATAGCAGTGCAGTTTGTAGCTTGTTTGGCATGCTTTTGGGACATCGACTTAGCTGCTCTGGCTCGTCCAGGCTCATTTCAAGAGTGGCTGTGAGCTACTAAGAGTAACTTCTGACCCTGCTGTTCTTGAATTTGAATGAATGTACCGAGCGTAACATACAAGCAACTACCGCGAAGCTGGGTCTTTACTGGTACCAAACGATTTGCACTGATCTGAGAAACCTGAAAAGTTTCAGTAGCGTGACTTGGAACCTAGACCGAAAGAAATGGTCATTAGATTACCCGACATGGAAATGCGAGCAAGGAAGTCGGCGGTTGTCGGCGCGACAAGACAAGATACGTTAGTTGAGACGGATTCCGTCACGGAAAATCGCGCCATTAACGGCGCGCGCGAGCCAGCTCTTGCGACGGCGACGTCCAGAAGTCGACCGCGGCTCGAGCAGCAAGAGCCAGAAATTGACGAGCCGCGAGTTACGGCTCAGGAAGAAAGCGAAAGAGTGAAATTCGTCAATGGGGAGGCGGTAGCGCATCTCGAGAATTCTCAGAACGGTCGTGCGAATGGAAAAAAAGGAACGGAATCTGGTACCGGCGGTGGGAAAGAAGCAGCTCGATTCACGGATCGTAGCGGGATTCACGGGCGAGGAGGAGCGACGGGATGTGCTGGTAACAGCAAGGCGTTGATTTGCATGGCGCTGCTGGCGTTGCAGTATGGCCTGCAGCCGATTCTCACGAGAAAGCTACTAAGGTAATAGATGTGTGTGAATGCGGCCCGCCTTTCTTATCCCCGTCAGGAGGCGTTGTTTGTTGCTTGGTCGTTCCTCCAATTCCCTCGCTTTTCTTCCCCGACTCTCCCGTCAGTTTTATTCTCAACTGAGTTTCCCCCTCCCCTGTCTCCCCCTCCCTCCGTCCCTCCCTCCCTCCCTCTCCGCAACACCCATCGATCCTGGGACCAACAGTCGCGACGTGCTGATATCGAGTCAAGTCATCACTTGCGAAGTGCTCAAGGTGAGCACCTCGGCCTCAAAAGAACAACCCAGCACGAAACCCCCGCTTTTCCTTTAGTGACTTCATATTCGTCAAAACATTTCCCGTCGTCGTCCCCGTACCAACCCCACGGACCACTCTTTCTTCCTCGCGTTCTCTGTTCTCTTCTCGTTCCCCTCATGAAACCCGCCCCTTTCCCATCAGGTCATCGTTGAAATTTGAGTCGACTAAAATTTCCTCTCCCCATTCTCCCCAATTCCCCAATCAGATCCTCGCCGCCTTCGCAGCCATGCGCCATGTTCCTAGACGCGCCTCTCTCTTCACCGACCGGCGCTACCGGCACCCCTTTTGAGTCAACTTAACACGAGTCACCCGTGAATTGCCATCATCCCTCTCCCACTATCCCTCCTGCCTCCCGCTTCCCCCACCCACCCCTTTCCCCAGGTCCTCATAGCCCTAACAGCCATGTTCCTGCCTCGACGGCTCTCTCTTCACCGTCTGGCGCCACACCTCTGGCGCTCCTTTTGAGTTGAGTCAACACGACTCACCCGTGCATTGCCATCATCCTTCTCCCACTACTCCCTCCACCCAACCCCAACCCCCAATCAGGTCCTCATAGCCCTCACAGCCATGTTCCTGGACGGCTCTCTCTTCACCTTCTGGCGCAACTGGTTTGATTCTCGCACATGTTCCCAATGCTTCCCCCGTCCTCCTCCTCCTCGACCCCCCTTCCCCCGCTCCTCTGACCCCCTCTCTTTCTCAGGTCCTCATAGCCCTCACGGCCATGTTCCTGGACGGCTCTCTCTTCACCTTCTGGCGCAACTGGCACCCTCTGGACTCGTTAGAAGCTGCTGCGGTACCAGGCCTGCTGTACGCCGCCCAGAACACGCTCATTCAGGTGGCCCTGCGTCACCTGGACTACCTCACGTTCAACCTGCTGAACCAGACAAAACTGCTCTTCACTGCTCTCTCCAACTACCTGTTCCTTGGGTAAGGAAGGGAACTAAGCAAGGTGGGGGAAAGAGGGGGTAAAGAATGGGAAAAAAACCACCTGGACTACCTGACGTTCAACCTGCTGAACCAGACGAAGCTGCTCTTCACTGCTCTCTCTCCAACTACCCTTTTCTCAGGTAAGAGGGAAGGAGGCAAGGTGAGACATAGGTGGGAAAGAGGTGGAAAAGAGGACACCTGGACTACCTGACGTTCAACCTGCTGAACCAGACCAAGCTTCTCTTCACTGCTCTCTCCAACTACCTCTTTCTCTCAGGTAAGGGCGAACGATGTAAGGTGGGAAGAGGTGAGAAGAGGGAGATTAAGCCACCTGGACTATCTCACGTTCAACCTGCTGAAGCAGACAAAAGTGCTCTTCACTGCTCGCTCTCCAACTGCCTGTTCCTCAGATAAGAGGTAACGAAGTAAGGTGATAAATAGGTGGGAAGAGTGGGAAAGAGACGGCCTTGTGTCACTTGGACTATCTCACCCTCAACCTGCTGAACCAGACGAAACTTCTCTCCACGGCCTTCTCTGATTACCTGTTCTGAGAAGTAACGAGGTAAAATGGGAAAGAGGTGAGAAAGAGGTGGTAAAGAAGCAGAAGCAGAGGAGGCTGCTGATTACCGCTCTCTCCAGCTACCTGTTTCTCAGGTAGGAGAGAGCGAAATAAGGTTGGATTGAGGTGGGAAAGAGGTTGGAGGGAGGTGGGAAAGAGGGAGAAAAGAGAAGGAATAAGCCTATCTGACCCTCAACCTGTCTGCTGCGTGTGCTGGAAGAGGAGAGAAGGAGACAGAGAGCAACCAACCAACTCTCGGTTTTTCCTTGCTACCCTCTCATACTTCTCCGCTGCTGTCTCCTCGTTTCCTCTCGCCCCCTACTTCAGAATCCGCCAGACTCGCGTGCAAATCGTCGCCCTCTGCATGCTTCTCGTCGCCGCCACACTACTCACCCTCAGCCCTGGCCCTTCTTCTAGCCCTGGGTCTGGGTCTGGGTCTGGGTCTGGGTCTGGGTCTGGGTCTGGGTCTGGACAGGATATGTCTCTGGGAAGCAGTGCAGCAGAGGGAGGAGCTTTAGGGGGGGATGGAGCAGGGCAGGGGCTGTCTACAGCTGCTGGCGCGGCGGCTGCTAGTGCGGCTGCTGCCGCTGCCACTGCTGCGGCTGTTCTGGCAGCAGGTGTGGCGTGGGAGAGAGTGGCGCTGGGCGTGGTGCCGGTGCTGGTGGCATCAGTGACGTCTGGGCTGGGATCGACCCACAACCAGTGGCAAGTGCAGGTGCGTGTGCGTCTGTGTGTGTGTTTGGGTCCGGTTGCGCTGGAGCTTTTGCTGCTGCTCTGCTGCTGTCGCGGTTGCTACTACTGCGGCGGCTGCGGCTGTTGTAGCAGCAGGCGTGGCATGGGAGAGAGTGGCGCCGGGAGTGGTGCCGGTGCTGGTGGCATCGGCGGTGACGTCTGGGCTCGGATCAACACACAACCAGTGGCAAGTACAGGTGTGTGTGCGTGTGTGTGCGTGTGCGTGCGTGCGTGCATGAGGGGTGGTGAGGTTGTAACACATTGCTGGTGGGTGGCATCGGTGACATTGAGCTCGGATCAGCGCACAACCAGTGGCAAGTGTAGGTGCGTGCAGGTGTGACTTGCACAGCCCAGCCGTCACAGCTCATCCGCACAGCCCCACCACGCTCTGGCCCGATCAGGCTGGGGTTGTACTGACCATGGTTCTGGCAACCACAGGTGCATGCGGGTCTGGTTGTGGATTTTTAGCCGACTAAAAACACACATTGCCTTGCCTTGGGTTGACTTTGCTGACCTCCAGTCTCCGTCCGTCGTGCTTCGCAGGTCAAGAAACGCAATCCCCACCTGTTCACCATTGACATGTGTTCCCTCTCACCTCCCTCCTCTCATCCTCCACCTGTCATCTCCTCCCAAGTTAGCACTCTCTAAGCCCCTTCCACGTCTTCTCTTCTCTTCTCTTTAACCCGCCCTCCTCTTCCCATATCAAGAGGCACAGCCCCCACCTGTCCACCCTTGATATCTTCCTCCTCACTCACCTCCCTCCTTCCACTCTTCAGCCTCCCCTCCTTCAAAGATTCTGCATAATTCCTTCTCTTGCCTTGTCTTCCTCCCCCCCTCCTTCCATGTCAAAAGGCGTAGCCCCCATCTGTTCACCATTGAGATGTGTTCCCTCACATCCCTCGTCCTCTCGTCTCCCTCCTCTTGTCTCTTATCCCCGCTCTCCTCTTCCTTCCATGTCAAGAGGCGCAGCCCTCATCTATCCACCATTGAGATGTGATCCCTCTCACATCCCGCCCCCCACTCTTCAGCCTCCCCTGCTCCCAAGGCGCTGCTCCATGCTTCCTTCCCTTGCCTTGTCTTTCCTCCATCATACATTGCAGGTCAAGAGGCGCAGCCCCCATCTATTCACCATCGAGATGTGTTCTCTCACGTCCCTCGTCCTCCTCGTCTCCCTGCTCTCCTTTCAAGACACTGCCCTGTCTTTCCTTTCCTTGCGTTGCCTTACCCCCACCCTCTGCATGCAGGTCAAGAGGCGTAGTCCCCATCTATTCACTATCGAGATGTGTTCCCTCACGTCCCTCGTCCTCCTCGTCTCTCTCTTCACTTCCCAAGACGGCGCTCGCATGTTGCAACTCGGCTTCTTCCACGCATGGACGCCGCTCACCATTGTAAGACCCGTCATATCATACATCCAGACACTCTCCCCACTGTAAGAATTCTCAAAAGGAGTCACTTTTGAGAATTCTCACAAATAACTCAGCGTTTTCCACGCCTGGACGCGCCTCACCATTGTAAGACCCATCATATCATACATCCAGCCACCTCTCGCCCCTGCTTTTGAGACGTCTCAAAACCTCTCGCCCCTGGTTTTGAGACGTCTCAAAACCTCTCGCCCCTGCGCTTTACCCATTTGTACCATCGTGCATGCACGTCAATGCGCCATCCCACCCCTACCCCCATCCCCACTCCCAATTTCGAGATTCCAGCCTCCACTGTGGGAGGACATTTTCGAGGGAATTGTGAACCCCATCCCTAACCCCAACTTTAACCCCTCCCCCCACCACACTCCCAACCCCACCCCCCAGATTCCAGCTCTATCGAACGACAAACGTGCCTTTTTCTGCCCGCCTCTATCCCTATGCCCGATGTTATTCCACCCCCCCAACCTCCACCCCCACCCTGCCCCCATTCAACCCCACCCCCACCCTGCCCCCATTCAACCCCACCCCCACCACCATCCCACAGATCCCTGCTCTATCGAACGCCATAGGGGGTATTCTCGTGGGCTTGTGACCAAATGTGCCTTCTACTGCCCACCCCTACCCCAACCGCCACACACACTCCCCTACTCTTCCCCCTCCACCTCAACCCCACCCCCCAGATCCCTGCTCTATCGAACGCCATAGGAGGCATTCTCGTGGGGCTTGTGACCAAATACGCTGGGGGCGTTAAGAAGGTATGCTGAGTGAGGGGAAGGGGAACAGGTGGGGAGGAAAGGGAGAAGGGGGAAGGGGAGAAAAGGGGGGGGTTGGGGGGCGGGGGTTTTCTTTTAATGTGGCCGCACAAGTGTCCATTGAATGTGAAGGGGGGTTGTCTATTGCTATTGGGGCATTCTTGTGGGGCTTGTGACCGAATATGCAGGGGCGTTAAGAAGGTATGTTGGGGGAGGGGATAGGTGGTGGAGGCGGGTGTCATAGAACGGTTCACTGGGTCGTGGGGATTCCTACCAGTCTTCGTGCCACCAATTTAGTGTAGGATACTTCATACAAAGCCATAGAACCAGCCCATCCAGACGGTCTGCTGGTAACCACCATAGTGCAGTGTGCTCTCGTCTGCACGCCTCTCGCCCTCTGTATCCGAATGGTCTTCCTCCCTCCCCATGCTGCTGTTCTCCTCTCAACCCACACTCCTTCCCTCGCAGGGTTTCACAGTGATAGCGGGTCTGCTGGTGACCGCCATAGTGCAATATGCTCTCAAAGGCACGCCTCCCTTCCTCTTCGTGTGGTTGGCTCTCCCTCCCCTTTCTGCTCTTTTCAGATCATCTCATACTTTCTCCCTTCACCTGCCTACACCCTCCCCTTGCAGGGTTTCACAGTGATAGCGGGTCTGCTGGTAACCGCAATAGTGCAGTATGCTCTAGACGGCACGCCTCCCTCCCTCTATGTCTGGATGGCCCTTCCTCTCACCGTCCTCAGCACCTACCTCTACTCCTCCTCCGCTGCACCCCCTGCTGTTCCTGCTGCTAAGAGCAAGGAGCTCTAAGCTATTGAGCAGTTTGCTAGGCAATATTCTCTGGGTGGCACGTCTTTCTCTCCCATACGCTCACCGCCCTCAGCACCTACCTCTACTCCTCCGCTGCACCATCTGCTGCTGCTGCTGCTGCTGCTGCTGCTGCTGCTGCGCCTGCAAAGGAGATTAGAGCTCTAGGCTGACACTACCACCACCACCTGAAGCTGGTGTTGCCACTGCTGCTGCTGCCGCTGCTTCTTTCATGCTTCCTTCTTTTCTGCTTACGACATCTCTTGCTCTTCCCTTACTGCTCCTGGGGAAACATTTATTGTCTATAATTGCTTGTGAGATATTTCAGATCTCGCTGGCTGCCAGAAACCGCAGCGTGGCAGTGGCAGTTGCAGAGTAAGGGTTGCCTTGCATGTGTACAGTGCCATGTCTGACAATGTCAGTTGCTTGTACATGATTCCCAATAACAAGTATGAATTGAGTGTACATGCTTGAAGTTGCACAGTGATGCTACCCTACTCACCTGAAGTAGAAGAAAACAAATGCTTGTTTACGTCGTCTATTAGTTTCCTATATTTGTCTCCGTGGTTTGTAACTTGTCAGCCAAACTGATGGACTAATTAGTTGCACTGTGCTTCTTGGTGGGGCTGAACACAAACCCTTCAAACAGAGAGTTGTCAAGCGGATCCATCCCTGATGCTGCATGAGTGTCAATCTTCAGATTCGGTTTTGCTACCCCGCCATCGTTTTTGTTGTCCGTACGTAGTGACTTGTTATTTACACCACAGAAGGGCTTGTGGCACTGCTCTTCTTAGTCGGGCTGAACACAAACCCTTCAAACAGGGAGTTGTCAAGCGGATCCAATCCCAAGGCTGCATGAGTGTCAATCTTCAGATTCGGTTTCGCACCAACCTTCCCAGTCTTCCCGCCATTTACTTTGTCGGTGCCAGCTGGAGCTTTGTCATTGGTGGAGGTCTGGGCGGCCTTTGCAGGGGCATTGGTGGGCTTTGATGCGCCTGCAAGCAAGCATACACGTTGGGGGAGATTGGAAATCAGTGGGAGACAGACCGATACAGGGAGAGGTATGGTGAGAGGGGATGTGGAAGGGTGAAACATTGGGGGGGGGGGGAAGGGGGACGGATGTGATGGTGAAGGGGGAACAGGAAATTGGAGAGCATGCAGTATTTACCTTGGTGGTTGTCAGTGCGTGCAGCAGAGGAGGGTGGCTCCAAGGGATCGATGATGTGAAGTTTTTTGCTCCTCAAAACGTGCAGGGAGGTAGGGAGATGGATAGCATAGTTACCATGGTGGTTGTCAGTGGGTGCAGCAGAGCAGGGTGGCTCCAAGGGATCGCTGATGTGAAGGCCGGTGAAGCTCTTATCGAAGTTTGACACGTCCTCCATGCCCTGTTGAATCAACGTTTCAGCAGAGTACAGGGAAGAAGAAGCAAGGGGGAGCAGAGAAAGGGGGTTTGCAAGGGGTTGATGGTTGCTGATGTGAAGGCCGGTGAAGCTCTTATCGAAGTTTGACACGTCCTCCATGCCCTGTTGGGTCAACGGTACAAGACAATGCAGGAAAGAGGCAAGGGGAGCAGTGGAGGCGGTTTGCATGGAATTTTGGCACGCCTTCCATGCCCTGTTGGGACAATGATCCAGCACTGCGTGGGGTGGGAGTGGAGGGGAGCAGCTTGTGGAAAAGAAGGGCGTGAAATAGGGGGGGTTCCAACTCGACCTCTCTCCATATGAAACGATTCAGTTCGAACGAAGGAAAGGACAAAGGAGGAATGTCAATCCACCTGGCTCACCTTGCTGCTGGGCACGAAGGGGGGAGGCACCTCCCTGGCATACAGCCTGTCCCAGTCCATGCCTCGGAAGAACTCGTGCCTCATGATCTCTGCAGCGTCGGTGGGGCCCGCTCCGAGCCTCAGGCTTGGCTCCCGAACCAGCAGCTAGAGTGCGCGTTGGGGGGAGGGTAGGTAGGTGGGTGGGGAGCGGGTGGAGGGGAATTGCGTGTGGTATTAGAGGAGTTGATAGGGAACCTGAGAGTAGCTAGAAGAACAAACAATATGCACAATTGAAGGAACTTTTCTGCATGCTCGATTAGGCTCAAACGAATGATAAGTTCTTGCATCCTGCAAAATTTTATTTGCACTTTAGACATAACGATTTACACATTGAAAATGAAAATGTGGCACCTTGGAAATGAGATCGCGAAGGTAGAAGTTGGTGACGGTGATAGGGAAGACTAGAGGCGCGTTCACTATCTTGTTGTACATTATGTTCACATTGCGATCGTAGAAGGGCGGCTGGGGAAGGGAAGATGGAAATTGGAGAACACCGATGCAAGAGTATGAAATGACACACCACAACATTGTGAGAATAGAAGGCCGGCTAAGGGAGGGCAGAGGAGAAATTGGATAAATCGATGCAAGTTGGGGGGAGGGCAGACGGGAGGATGACTTTTGAGCTGACTCAGAAATCGACTTCTGACCACATTACTGTCCGTGCACTCACCACACCGACCACCATTTCGAAGAGGAGAATCCCGAGGCTCCACCAGTCCACAGCCCTACCATGCCCCTTGCCTCCCAACACCTCCGGAGCTGCTTGGGGATATAAGAATGTCATGGGGTCGAGCCGTTGAGGATAGGGAAGGTGGTGAGGTGTTGAAATCTGAGCGTGAAAGGATGGGAGGCCACGACGTGCAGAAAGGTGGCGACGGTGGATAAAGATCACACAGGGAGGGGAACCGGCATACGAGATGTGGCATGGCAAAGAAAAGGCAAAAACCTTCAGTGGCTTCGCCCGGACTTGAACCGGAGACCTTCAGTGTGTTAGACTGACGTGATAACCAACTACACCACGAAACCGATGTCTTGAAAAATATTTACAGACCAAATTAATTTTATCCAGAAGCTTACCGAGATACTCTGGTGTGCCGCAAAAGGTGGAGGCCGATGAGTTGTCTGCAATGTGCTCCTTAGCCAATCCGAAGTCTGCGATGCGCACGTGACCTGGCATGGGCCGCAGTGTATTACGAGAATGGATGGACAGAAATGTGCGTCGCGCATATCGAAATTGGCATTCAATGCCTTGCTAGCATGGCGACTGATAGCATCAGGTCTGGTTCAGTGAAGACCTCAGCATGGCAGAACAAGAAATCAGCATCGCCAATTAGGTACTTACCTTGAGCGTCTAGGAGAATGTTTTCCGGCTTCAGGTCGCTGTGACAGCACATGCGTGGGGAGGAGATTACGATGGGGGAGGAATGCGCAGGGGGTGAAGGGGGGAAGGAACAGAGGAGAGGGATAATCAGTGCGTCGAGAGACTAGGCTCAGTGTTTGAGTTGAGAGGGACAGAGACGGGACACAACCGCGCGGCGTCGAAACGCGCGCGGTTGTCCTTGAAGCGGCGCTCGCGCTTGACCGATTTACTCGTCGCAAAAGAGTCGCACACAAGTCGCACATCAGGCGGACACCAGTCGCACACCAGGCGCACCAGTCGCATACCAGTCGCATACCAGTCGCATACCGGTAGTAGATGCCCAGAGAATGCAGATGCCCCAGCGCGAGCAGGAGCTTCGCGGCGCAGAGGCGCACGCGGTCGTCCCAGAATCGCCTTCTCTTTTATTCACCCACCTACCCGTTGCACGCCGCTCGCACACCTTTCGCACATCAGTCGCACATCAGTCACACATCAGTCGCACACCGATGATAAACAAGTAAATCACGCCGAGCGAGTGCAGGTGGCCCAGCGCAGCTCCGCGGCGTAGAGGCGCGTGCGGTCGTCCTTGAAGCGCCGCTCGTGCACCACTCACATACCATCGGCATACAATCGCATACAGTCGCATACAGTCGCACGCCAGTCGCACGCCAGTCGCACACTATCCACACACCGGTATATGACTCCCAGCGAGTGCAGGTGCCCCAAAGCTAGCAGCAGCTCGGCAGCGTAGAGGCGCGCGCGGTCGTCCTTGAAGCGCCTCTCGCGCTTGAGATGGAAGAAAAGCTTCCCCCCGGGCATGAAGTCAAGGATCAGGAACAGACGCGTCTCGGATTGGAGAGCCCACCGCAGCGGCACAAGAAACGGGTGACATACTTCCTGGGGATGGGGGATGTGGGGAGAGGGTGAGGGGGGTTGAGTGTGGGGGAGGGGGAGGGGGAGGGGGAGGGGGAGGGGGAGGGGGAGGGGGAGGGGGAGGGGGGAGGGGGGAGTGGGGGGGTAAGGGAGAGCTTCACCGTCCGCGGTGGGGAGGGAAGAGAAGAGTGTGGGGGAAACGAGGTGGATCAACGTTCGCGGCTTGTGGTGAAAGAAAGTCCCGCCGCTGGAGACGGGGGATGAGGCGGGGGATGAGGAAGAGACGGGTCTCGAACTGGAAACGGGTGTCGCGCCTCCTGGGGGTGGGAAGGATGAAGAAAGGGATGGGGGAATGCGAGGAAGTGGGGAATGCGGGGAAGACCCATAAGAACCATGAAGGTTTCATATGCGTCCAGGGGATTTCATAAAAGAGAAGTCATTTTCTAACCATAACAGTGCGCGTACAAACGCAAAAAGAATACAGAAACATGCACAAATGCACATACAACCCCCCCTCGCCTCCCCCTTTACCCCCTCCGACCCACTCACACATCCGCCCTCCCTCACCTTCCTACCTGCAGCACATGTCGCTCAATTAGTGTGTGCTGCAGCTGCTGCAGGTACATACACATTTACATCAATGCACCCCCCAACCCCCCCTCTCAAACGTGCACCCACACCCACCTGCACCACGTGTTGCTCGGTAAGTGTGCGCTCAGCTGCTGTGATACACCCATGCATGTACACAACGCGAGTTACATTAGCCAACACACATACTCGGACTTAACCCTCCCTACCTTCACCACCAACCCACCTGCAGCACGTGTCGCTCCGTGAGTGTGTGCTGCAGCTGCTATGAAGCATACACATCCACACCAATCCCCTCCCCTTCTCCGCACACCCACACCCACCTGCAGCACGTGTCGCTCCGTGAGTGTGTGCTGCAGCTGCTGTCGCCGCATCACTGCCGCCTTGTCCAGCACCTTCATCGCAAACACATGCCTGCTGGGGGCATGACGCACCAGCAGCACCTGGCGAGGTGGATGGGGATGGGGCGTGGCAGGGGTCAGGGGAAAGCGTTGGGGTGTGGCATCTCACTGTTACCGTCGCATCACTGCCGCCTTGTCTTGTCCAGCACCTTCATCGCAAACACCTACCCGCTGGGGGCATGGCGCACCAGCAGCACCTGGCGAGGCAGGTGTAGCAGTGAAAGAGCATGGGAGTGGCAAAGCTGACACAGAGAAAGGGCCTTAAAGAACTTTCAGGGGAGTGAAGTGGTTTCCATCGTCACTGGTCAAGCAGAGCAGGGGTATTGAGACACCTCAAAAGCAGGGAACGAGTGACAGACAGTGTTCGCAGTCACCTCGCCACCTTGGTTTTTGAGTCTCAAAAGGCACCTCAAACGCAGGGAACGGGTGACGGTGGGAAGCAGTCATCTCGCCACCACCTTGGCGAAGCTCCCGTTTCCGAGATCCTTCCGAGGGACGTTCAGAAGCATCAGAACCCTTGGCAGGACAAGATCTATTCAACAGATGCTACTTTGTTAGATAGAGCACGGGTGCTGGTGGTTGCAGTTACCTTGGCGAAGCTGCCCTTTCCGAGAACCTTCAGCGGGATGAAATCTGTGATCTCCACAGGAGGTGCCACGTCAGCGTTGATGCTGCTGGCGACGATGTCAGCATCCTGCATTGACACGTCATTCTGGGTCATGGGGGGGAGGAGGAGGAGGAGAGAAGTGGGGTGGGTTCGGAAGCAGTTGGAAGCGGTGCAAATGCAATGACTGGGATGGAACGAGTCTCCCTGTGTTTATATCAGATTGAAGGACCACTCATCACTCTCACCATCAATGTAGGAGCGTCAACCCCACCGGCTGAGCCTTGTGATATGCCTGCCTCCTCCCCTGGTTCACCCCCCACCACTGTTTCCCCACGGGGTGAGGTGGGCGCTGAGAAGGGGAAGACGCGCGCCGATGCTGCCGCCCAGAAGGGGCGGATGGACTGGGGGGGGCGGGGGGAGAGGGGGGATTGTGTGGGGGGAGGGGGGGCAGAAGCGAGGATGGGAGGATGGGAGTCGCATAAATGGATGAGCCAAGATGCGTGGTGGTGCTGCACTTGATCACAGACCTTGTGGGGAAAGATGATTGCATCAGCATCCCAGACCGTGGTGCGTAATTAGAGAGGCCAGCAAGATGAGCTTCAGTTGATCGGAAAGATGATTGCATCACTTGCCTTGATCTTCGTGCGTACCAAAGCCAGCAGCTCCTCTTGATCCTGCCACAGATAAGAGGAGAGCGGAGGAGAGGGGAAACGGGCGAGAGAGAGATGCACGACACACATGTTGGACATTGAATGTGTGACATGAGCCATGTGACATGACATGTATGGCATGTGGCACATGGAGAAGCGCACGAACATGACATGACATTATGTGCTGTCATGAGCATCCAGGTGCTGTCTTGAGCTGTCTTCTGCTGTCTCGTGCTGTCTCTGTCCTGCCTTCACTCTATGCTGCTGTGATCCCTAACCACCGATCTGAACCGTGATTCACCTCCACAGCCATCTCTCAGCCCATACTGTCTCGTTTTATGTCATCCGTACTGCCAGTCACACCATACGGGCCGACAAGATGTGATGAATGGTATGAACTCGATTGCTATGATTGTGAGCACGCACCACCACGCCCACGTGGATGCTGGTTGATGCTGCTGCGGCAGATGGGAGTTGAAGAAAGGGACTCGTTTTGAGTCGACTCAAAATACACCTCGATGAACAGTACACCTCGGTTTGAGTTGAATTCAAATACAGGAGCACGCACCACCACGCCCACGTGGATGCAGGTTGATGCTGGCAGCTGTGGCCAATCGGAGTTAAGCGCAACGGCACTTCTTAAGTCGAAACAAGACACGCCTCAATTCAAAATACACATTTCACGTCGACCCAAACCACAAGAGCACGTACCACCACGCCCACGTGGATGCTGGTTGATGCTGGCAGCTGTGGCCGATCGGAGTTAAGAGCAAGGGCGCGTTCAACAGCCATGGCTGCTTCCACTGCAAATGCTGACATCACCATCTGACATATCGTGGGGGCGAGCGGCGTGCACAGGACAACATCCTTCTCCTGAAGAGATGTGGTGGGGAGGGGTGCCAGAGAGGGCAGGCGAAGGGGGAACGAAGCAAGGTTGTTTTACAGCCATGGCTGCTTCCACTGCAAATGCTGTCATCACCATCTGACATATGGTGGGCACGAGCGGCGTGCACAGAATAACATCTTTCTAGGAATGGGGGAAGGGGAACAGTGAGGGCGGGGTGTTTGGAATGGAGACAAGGGTGGTGGTGAGGTTAAGATAAGGGCAAAGACGAAGTACCATCTCCCTTTGGATGCATGTCCCGATGTTTCGAAAAACACATTGTCGTGTGTTGATTGACTGCATTGACTTACGTTGACCATGCCGATGGAGAACATGTCATTGGTCGACGACAGCAGCAGCTTAACCACCGACAGCACCGGGATGCACTGCCTCAGTTTCCCTCTGCTAGCCCTCGGCCCATGGCTGCTCAGAGTTGTTCCGCTACTGACCACAGCCTGCATCCCTCCCCCCTCGTTTGTCACGTCTTCTGAAGAGCCATTCGTAGTACCACCCTTGTGCGATCCCTGACTTATTTTTACATCCGCGTTAGTAACCTCCCCGAAATTCTCAACCTCCTCAGATGTCCTGAGATATGATTCCAGTCCCACTGGGACTGTATTCAGGGCCGTGACAGGAACAGCGGCACTGGCAGCAGCAGATACTGCTGCAGCGGCAGTAGGAGAGGTGATAAACTCATCGGATCTTGTGCCGATATCGTCGTCTTCCTCCGAGCCGCTCCTATCCTCGCTGATCACCTCGAGGAGGTACAGAGCGCGGGACGTCAGCAGGAGCGTCAGAGGCTGACGGATTCCGTCATTAGTTGACGGATGGTAGGTGCTTGCGGGCTTGAGTTGCTGGACAAACGCGGATAGAATGTCCTTTTCCGACGGCCTCCCCCCTGCAGTCGCAAATAGTTACTGGAAAACCGGCGTACACTGCTGAAAGACCAATCCTCGATAGTATCACAGGATAGTTTGAGTTGACGAACTTACCAAGCGACCTGATAAGGTTCCCGATCGAGATGTGCGAGGCGTTTTGATGCTGTGGCGAAATTTCGCCGTCGTCGCTGAGCGCTTTAGCGGAGAACCGCGCGCCGAGGAGTCTCCGAGGCAACACAAGAGAGAGCCTCCCTAACTGCTCGTGCGCTTCCCTGTGCACTGGGTACGAATCCAGAGGCTGAGACATACCGGGATTTTAATAACTAGCAGCTTTGACTAAAAGGAGAGGAACTCCCTGTATCCTTCTTCGATTCAACTATTTGATGCTGCAATGATTCAAATGGACGCTCTGGATGCTGAAATTGAAGAGCAAGGGGATAAATCTGGCTGGTTTATTTTACTAGCGGGAGGGTTCTGTGGTGTGGAGGTGGAGCTGGTGTGACCAAGTTGGGAAATTTTGTGCCGTTTCGTCTCCGCAATTTGACGCGCCGCTTTGTGTGAAACGCCGAGTCGCTCTCTAAGTACATCAAATTCGCGTTGGGGCGAGAAATGCGCCGTTTCGTCTCCTGAATGTTCAGACAAAATCAGGTCTCGTCTACATGTACTTCGAACAATTGCTAACCTTTTTACTCACAATTACGGCACATGTTAGAGACGATTATTTTGGATGGAATACAAAGATGGCATGACTCATGATATTTCTGTTTGGAATGCCAAGAATTTGAAGGACATTTACTATTATCTCAGTCAGTTCACAGGTACAATAGAAGAACAGGTTTAGTCCTCGTTAGTTTTTCACGCTAATGTAACACTTACAGCAATTCGCCTCCACCCATGCAATCGAGCATTGCCCTCACCAGAGCATCATCCAAAAAATTCAACCCCTGGGGAGCCTCTCCCAGCAAGCATCCCATGTCATCCATGGCCCCCAACCACCCCCGAAGAAGCCTAACCCATCCCCAGCGATAGCTTCTTCCTTTAGACTTGCTTCAGTACAAGTATAATCAGTCCGCGTGACGTCACTGGTTGGCGAGCTCGGGTTGTTGACCTTGTGAACGAGAACGTCAGCCGCGTTCCCGTTATAATCAATCCCTCGCAACTTCTTCGCAGGTGATGCCTCGTCGCACGCCGGAACGGCTTCGACTAAATCCGCTGCGGGAACGGCAGGCGAAGCCAGCTGCGGCGAGATCTGCGACTGCCTTCCGGTCGAGCTCATCTCCCTTCGCAACCGCTCTACCTCCTCCTCCATCCGCTCGTTCGCCGCGCGAAGGCCGTCCACGCTCGTCTCAGCCTCCTTCAGCTTCCGATTCGCCTCCTCACGCGCTTGCGTCAGAGCCGCGACCTCGTCCTCAAGCTCGTCGAGTCGCTCGCGCTTCCGCTGTCGCGACCGCTTCGCCGACTGGCGATTCGACATAATCCGGCGGACTTTCTTCTCCTCGCCCTCGTCGGAATCCAGCGCGCTGCTCGCGAAGTTGATTCCGAGAGCGCTTAGAGGGCTTGAAGCTGTGATCATGCTGTTTCTAAGAGGGGATACGGCCGAGAAGATGTTGCTGCTGAAAGGATTTACACCCGATATAGTCACACCTGTTCCGTTACTCATGAAACGGCTCGATGTAATGGATGCAGGTATGCCTATTGACGGCGGCGAAACCGCCGGAGTCCCAGGCAGCGAGGAAACAGGACATTGGGGAATAGTAGCGGATGATTGGAGGGGTGCAGCAGCAGATAATAACGCAGAAGTTTCGTTCAGGCCAGTGGAAGAGAACGTCATGGATCTGCCATTGATCACAGCCGACGGAAACCTTATGGCTGAAGGTGCCTGCTGACGGGTGACCGTTAGATTAACACGCCTCTGTAGCTGAGCCAGAAGGTCGACTTGGCTCACAGCCCGCTCATTCGCCCCCTGCTGCTGAAACGCGGCCCGGTTCTGCTTCGCTGATTGGTGAGTTTGAAGACCAGCAACGAGAGGAGAGACTGCGCTGTTCTGCTGTGTTTGCGCCGGCACTTGAAAACCGGCCATGAACTGAGAAACTGCCCGGTCGAAATCTTCCGAGACACGCGGACGGCTAAGAGGCTCATCGGATTGGGATTTGGGGTTGGCGGAAGGTGTGACGGCGGACGAGAGGGGGACTCGCTTGATCTCCGGTGGGAAACACATGATGGCTTTCTGGTAAATGTACGCAAATCACACTACTGGAGATAATCAAGAGAAAGGAAGTTGTTAGTACTGAGACTGCAGCTGAAGCCGAGAAAAGCTATATGTGGAATGACTGCGAAATGGAAAATTGGAGGTTTGAAGCGTTGTGCTGTGTAACTTGAAAGGATGAACAGATGGGTGAGGGGGGACGCTGGCTGGAACGGCAAGCCTGAGAAACAACAGGGGAAGGAGGAGGTTGATGACTGTGGCTTGAGCTGAGCAGTGAGGTTAGCAACCATGTGAGGGCGTGTCTGAAGTGAACTTTGACGTTCGCCGACGAAAGTTTGGTCGACGAATCCCGACGAAAGTTGACGAAACTCGACATCCGTTTTCCCGTTTTTGCACTTCAGACACCCAAACGACAAAAAAACAGCACGTGCGAATTTCGCCACTGTTTCCACTGCCCGAAAATGCCAACGTGGATACGAATAGCGAAAGGCACCTGCTTGTGTCGTGGATTTCGTCACACACTAGTCTGTCCAGTTCTGCACAGTTGAGAGTTTGACATGCGTGCAATTGCAGGGCAATTGCAGTTTCACACACCTTGATGAATTTGAAATACGCAGACATTGACTGGTGTGACTGCGATCGAGTGGATCAATGTTGACCTGACGTGGCTGACGAAATTCTAGGTGCCCACGATGGCAACAGTAACTACAAAACCTGACCGACAGGACTGTTCGACATCCACCGACGAGTGTACGAACGCCCAGTTTCGTCAGTGGATGTCGAGCTGCACTTCAGACAGCAAAACGCGTGGGACCCACGGATGAGTTTCGTCGACGAAAGTTGACGAAACTCGACGTTTGCACTTCAGACACGCCCTAAGTCAAATTGGAACTTCCACCATCCACTGTTCCGCCACCGCCAGGAAAATTAGCTGGAAAAATCGGCTTCAGTTCGGAAAATCAGGGAAACTGATTTGATGCGAACCAATCTCGGCTGCGAACACCAGTCGCATTGCTGCTCTCCAATCACAGATTATTGGGTTGAGTTACTTGAACGTGTTTGAGGGTGTTTTTCACACTGTCTGTACCTTCATCAGAGAAACCGATGGTGTCGCATCTTGCAGACTGAACTGAGGGTCAGAATGACCTGAAACTGGGTGAGATGACACCCGATGACGTGCCGTGACGTGACATTTCCCGATACAAGTGTTCCGGGTTAGAGGCCCTCGCTTAAAACCGGGGTGCACATTCAGCTGAATGTGCATCAAAGGTTATCCCTTGACTGAGTGGGTTACGAGGTGTGCTTTCAACCCCTTCAAGTCGAAATTCGTTTCCCCCCTCCCCCGCAATTTCGTTTCCCCACGCCCCCGCAATTTCATTTCCCCCTCCCCGTCGAAATTCGTTTCCCCCCTCCCCCGCAATTTTGTTTCCCCCCTCCCCCGCAATTTCGTTTCCCCCCCCTCCCGCCAATCTGTTTCATCCCTCCCGCCATTCGGTTTCACCCACTCCCGCCATTTCACCCCCTCCCGCCACCTACGAAATGCCCGAAGCTCTAGCGGAATCATTTTTTTGTCGCCCCTCGTGAGCCAATCACTGTTTTTCTCCAAACCCCCTTCCCAACATCTCAAGCCGAACCGCGTTGAATGTGCACCCTGGTTTTAAAGAGTCCCTTTTCCCCCTTGAGTAGAGGTTTCCGATATCGCCTAGGTTTGGCCCGACCCCTATAGTCCCTTTTTTGGCGGGAAATTTTGCAGCTTCACCGAATCATTGCACGAATCAGCTCCACAGCCAATCAGAGGCTCCAGATCGAACCAGCCCAACATTCAGGGAAAACGATAAATAAGGGATCATCGATTCGATATTTAACTTTAGAATTGTAATTAACTGTTTCTATTGACCGTGATTAATTTTCAATCATGTCGCGCGGTCTCCAGCACGCTCGACGATGACATCTCATTTATCTTGCTTACATGGTAAAACACAAGTTTTTACCTTCTATTCGACCCCCAAACCATAATTGATTTTGTTTTGTTTTGCCCGTTAGTCATGCGACATTGATCAGTGCGGGGAACCGTGCGACGAGAAGTTGAAGCAAGCGCGGTCTGAATCTACGTAAAAGACAAAATCCAAAAACTATTAGCAAATAAACCACTCGTTATGAAATTTTCCTAAACGGGACTCAAAGTACCGTATTTGGGAAAATATGTCACAAGTAACCAACATGGGACTCGATAACGTGAATGGCAAACAATTAACGCAAACGGTCATTGTATCGGGTGTTAGAGTGAGGACCTTGGATAGGATAGGAGGTACTTTAGTAGAGTTGGTAGCGGAAGTCTTGTAAGAACTCAGATCATAGTGAATGTAAATGACCAAGTTAATTAAGCAATAGAATACAAGGAATATAAATAGTCATAGTCTAGCCATGTACTCTGAGGGGTACATTCCCTTATTATAACTGTTTTACAGGCATTTCTATAGTGACTCTGACTGTTGTACTACCTTCTTGTTACCGAGTCGCTGCATGTAACCTGTACGGTTACGCCTGTTGCTTTTCCTCGATGGCAAGTCAAGCGTCGGTCCAGATGGTCAACAGTCGCGACAGTTGACTCTTGCGATTGTTGACCTTCCTGCCCTTGATACGGGCTGATCCGAGACTGCGGATGTTGCTGCTTCGACAAAGTCAGGCGCGATACTGCTGCACCTACGGGAATGCTAAGTATAATTCCCTTCACACTCCATCATCGGGTTTGTTGACGGGTTTGGTAAGTGGGGTCACGGATTCAGTCACTAACAACAAGCGAAAAATTACGCCAATGATCACACATGTAACTCCCACCAAAATTTCTTGAAACTCTACAAAATTCCCGCTCGCGCCCAACCAATCAGCTAATTTCTAAAAATACTAAAACCCAATCGGAATCGGATGCGGTTTGGGAACGGATCAACCCTAAACACACGGCGAGTTGTGTTTAGTGTTGATTCATCCGAAAATGCATCCAGGTTCGTTTTGGGTATTATCTTTTTTGGGTTGGAGTTTCATCTGTGACCATTCGCGTTATTTTTTCCCAGTTGAGTGTGACTGATTCCGTGAAACGTTTTATCAAACACATGAAAACACCCTTTTCAGTGACCGTATCCGTTATTTTTATACCAAACATATTATCGAGACCCTTGTTGATTACGAGTGACATATTTTCCCATCGTGTTTTGCCCGGGGTTTGAAGGTTTTCGCACATAGTCCGCGCGAGACGTCTCATTCCGTCGGACTATAAACGAGAACTTTTGTAAATCTGGTCCGCGGTAAAGTAACCACCGGTATCTTAATCGCGTTTGTCGGCATGCTGGGCGTTTTCCGTTGGGTGGCCAGAAATCGCCGTTCACACTTGACCGAACCAAGTTGGGGAATTGCTGAACCTTTTTGGAATATATATTGCACTGCCTGCTGACGCAGGCATTACAATGAGTCAGCGGGCAAGGAAAAAAATAAAACCCACTCGGAAGGCATGTCATTCGGGAGGCATCAACCCTAAAATTTTAGGGTTGAGGCTCCCGAATGGCATGGAGTACGAATGGGTTTTAGTTTTTTTTCTGTCCGCGGTCAGCATGCTGACTCACTCGGTAGCGTCGTCTAGCGAAATGATAGCGCTACCGAGCGCTACCGACGCTACCAAGTGCAATATATTTCGATATTTCAGCTGGCGCCGTGCATGGGGCAAACAACTTTTCCATTAGACTATTCAAGAGAGAATCGCCACAGTCGATGTTTTTGCTTTCCTGACACTCGAACATTCCAGATGGCGAAAAGGTCCACATCGTTCCTTTTGAGGGGTACTATCAAAACTTTCCATGCTGTTCAGATATTTGGTGGTGAAAATAATGACCCGAATTTTGCACCTTCATCTTCACCACGGCCAGATAATCCAAAATCCTGCTACCCATTTTGGCGCGGTTAAAATACCGCAGACTAGGTGTAATATAGGCCTGGAGAACACAGCCTTCGCTTGCGGTCAAGATGGTACCTGGGGCCTAGGCAGGACGGCTGTGGTGCACTTGGAAACAGGCTGCATCGTACTGATCCCGGGAATTCGACGGCTGAGCATGGCCCAGACTTGCCTTTGCCCAGGGTGTAGAGCATGGCTCAGAGTCAGAAACCAAATGCAGAACACCCCGGAACCAGAACAGGTCGAGAACTTTTCTACGGAAAGCATTTCCAAACCCAGCAGGCTGCCAAATCTGACTTCGAACAGCTGAGAGTGCATGCGAAACTAAGCTCGAACTCGATTTTGTCGATTATACAATGTTACAGTGATTCCACAACGCTGTGACGACCGCTGCGTAGCCAAGTCGTCAACCCAAGAAGCGTCT